GCTGATGCGAGAGTTTACACGACAGAGTGTGCAATGGTCCGAACCCCGACCTTCGTACCGACCCGGTTCAGCATGTAGGGTTGCCATAAGCTCTTCTTTCACTGTTTCTCCTTGACGGCTCCGGCCGAGATTCCGCAAGCCCGGGATACAGAGCATAGCCTTAGCCGCCGTTGTCGCTCAGTAGGCCGCATGGTCCCCGCATGAGGGTTTGCTGGCATCGCTCGGTGCGGCCTTCCAAGATATGAAGCCGAGGCGCAGGACACGACCTAGCATTCCAGGGACGAGCACACCCAAGCATGGATGCAGGGGTTGGCTTTCGATGCAGCCTAGACGGCATCATGCACTTTGCACCGGTCTCGGAGCAAAAAAAGGCTTTTTTTCGATTCCGACGGCAGATGCAGCCCTCGACACAAGGGGTTGAGGGTTTAGGGTTTGCGGTTTCGGGTTTAGGGTTCATGATCCGGAATGATAAGGTGCGAAACTGTTCCCAACAAGTGCTCACGAAAGCACAAGCCCCTCTGCTCAGTACTCATCAGTTTCTTGACAACTCTAGAAGGGACCCCCAATGTTTGGTCCAAAACCCTTAGAAGAGGCGCGGAGGTTTCAGGCCGCAGCCAGCCAACCGAGAATCGGGACCTCCGCCGCCTGCTGATCACGCATGTGCGCCCCTGCGCACATCGGAGTTTCCGAAGAAGAGTGGCCGCAACACGGGGATCATTAGCGCAGGTACCGTGTGATCCGATATATCGGGAACCTTGAACCAGGGGTTTGTCAATCTTGTCCTGCATACAAGTGTAAGATTAGACGCGGCCTCGAGTTTCGAAACTCCAACATGTTGCCTAGAGTCCCGCCCAGACTTCAAAGACAGGTTTGCCCGGGCCAGGTTTTTTAGTCCATGCTGGACAGCTTGAATGCTTGGACACGCGATATCAAGTGAACTCAGCCTTGACCCTAAACCCCTAAACCCCTGAACCTCTAAACCCGTAACCCTCTAAACCCTAAAGCGGTTTACATACGACATGAGCACGGATATCCACATCATATCTAGGTACATGTTTGTCTGTTTATCTGTCTCTTTATCTACCTATCTACTTACCTACCTATCTGTCTATCAATCCAACACAAGTTGTATTAAGTTTTATCTTCTTAGTTTGTTTATTCCAACCACTGTCTAGTCTGTCTAACCCATCCAATCTCGCTAATCCTTTTCATCTCTTTAAACTGTTTTGTAAGCCTACTAATCTAACAATTCTATCCAAGCTCTTTCTCTCTCTCTGCCTAACCTACTTGTTCAGTCTGTCTTTGTGTCGCTAACTTATGTAGCCTGCCAAATCTCACCAACGTATCTACGTTGTCTGGATTTATCTCTACGTGCATGCGCCCTCTGTTGGCTATCTACATGTATAAATTACAGAAGTGCATCTGTGCTCACAGGCCTGGGCACAGGTACCGATGCACATGTCGACACTGCACTCATGAGCTTGTCAAGGCACGTGCATACGACACGCACGAACCACGCATGACCATACACGAACACACATTTCCATGCATGACCGAGCTTGACCATGCATGTCCATGCATGCATGACCATGCAGGACCACGCATGACCATGCATGACCACACATGACCACGAATGACCATGCAAGGCCGCGCATGACCATGCATGACCATGCATGACCATGCATGTCCACGCACGACCACGCATAGCCGTGCATGACCATGCATGACCACGAATGACCATGCATGGCCATGCATGACCACGCATGACCATGCATGACCATGCATGACCACGCAGGACCACGCATGACCATGCATGACCACGCATGACCACGCATGACCATGCATGACCATGCATGACCACGCATGACCACACATGACCATGCATGACCACGCATGACCATGCATGACCACGCATGACCATGCATGACCACGCATGACCACGCATGCCCATGCATGACCACTCATGACCACGCATGACCGCGCATGACCACGCATGACCACGCTTGACCACGCATGAATGCATGACCACGCATGACCACGCATAGCCGTGCATGACCATGCATGACCACGCATGACCATGCATGACCATGCATGACCATGCATGACCGGGCATGACCATGCATGACCATGCATGACCACGCATGAGCACGCATGAATGCATGACCACGCATGACCACGCATAGCCGTGCATGACCACGCATGACCATGCATGACCACGCATGACCACGCATGACCATGCATGACCACGTATCACCACGCATGACCACGCATCACCACGCATGACCACGCATGACCACGCATGACCACGCATGACCACGCATGACCACGCATGACCACGCATGACCAAGCATGACCAGCATGACCATGCATGACCATGCATGACCACGCATGACCATGCATGACCACGCATGACAATGCATGACCATGCATGACCACGCACATGACCATGCATGGCCACGCATGACCACGCATGACCACGCGCATGACCACGCCTGACCAAGCATGACCAGCATGACCATGCATGACCACGCATGACCACGCATGACCATGCATGACCACGCGACCATGCATGGCCACGCATGACCACGCATCACCACGCATGACCACGCATGACCACGCATGACCACGCATGACCACGCATGACCACGCATGACCACGCATGACCACGCATGACCACGCATGACCAAGCATGACCAGCATGACCATGCATGACCACGCATGACCACGCATGACCATGCATGACCACGCATGACCATGCGGGACCATGCATGACCACGCATGACCATGCAGGACCATGCATGACCATGCATGACCACGCATGACCACGCATGACCATGCAGGACCTCGCATGACCATGCATGACTACGCATGACCAAACATGGCCATGCATGACATTGCAGGACCTCGCATGAGCCGGGCGACATTCGTGACACGCACGTCACACATGTCAGCGCCTAGCTTTATAGTGTTCGTAGCCACAAGTCCACACAACAACCAGCTCGCGACCTGTAGCCTTGAACCTCTCAAGCCGTGATTTCCGAAGCCCAAGACCCCAAACCTGAGTTCAAGTGGTCGCGAATCCACGCACAAAGCTGACCTCAATCCAGTTCGTGTACAGACGACTGCGTGTCGCACCGATGACCGATCCTGGCAATGAGCTACGGTTTGTGGTTCGGCTTGAGGTTTTAGGGTATAGGGTTTAGGGTTTAGGGCTTGATGGTTTAGACGGGCCGGTAACGTGATGCACGTAAACGGTTTCGACAAATGCCTACGGATGACAGGTTCAGGGTTTTGTGGTAAAAAGCGGCTCCATCAAGGAGTGAACCCTTAAGAGCACACCTTAAATGCCACACCTGAACCCTATACTCCAGCCGTAAGGCCAGCATATCACTACTGAAGCATTTGGGCATTGCGCCACACTGTGCGCGGAAGTGGGCCGACGGAATTTGCAAGTGCCTGCACACCAAACACTCTTAGTGTTTTACACCCCGTGCTAAACCCTCAGCCGCAGGACCTAAGCGCCAGATCCGGTGATGCATACAACGTAAATACAAGTCAAAAATTGTACCCGAATGCCAGTAATGATAATGGGCCCTTGTATAGAGCACTTGAACATTCGAACGGCCAGGACTATCCGGACCGCCGACAGGACTATCCTGACCGCTGACACGGTTTTGGGTCTTTTATTTTGTAACCACAACAAGGGACCCCAGGAATATGTTGCTAGTTGTTCAGGCTTCTACATATGGGTGGTTGTCAAAATCAGGGTCCCTTTTTGGGGTCCTTATCATAATATGGCACCCAATATTTTTAGTACCCAAAAAGGGACCATAACTTTGACAACAACCCATACATACATACATACATACATATATATATACACACATAGATATATCACGAAGTAGGGTTTCGGTGTTATATAGCGCTCCTTTAGATAATTGCGTGTAGTTTCCGTTGGGGGTGCCGCGTCGAGAAATCTACATGTAGTACTTGTCACCAGCTTCAGACTGTATCCCCGAAGGCTAAATCCCTGGTCTCATGACAGTTGGCTGACGGCTCACCTCTGTGCTGTCCAGCATTCAGGGTTTGGCGAAGAATGAGGGCTGCGCTCCTGCCTGAAGACCTGAAACCCCCTGCGCTTCACCCTAGCCCTCACGCTTGGGAGCCGCAAACCGTAAGCTTTGTTCGCTTGCAAAGGAATCGGGCTCGATGCACCCGTTTACGAAGATTCTGCCGAACCAGGGTACAGGGAAGGCTGTGCACGCCTGCCGACGATCACCCGGAGAAAAAGCTGCGGGAGCTCTGCACGAAGAGGAGTTCGCACAGCACCACCGGAATGTGCACTGACGTCATCACCACGCGCATCGTCATGCCAATGCTAACTCCATCCTGATTGCTACAGTCGAGCAATAAGGGTTGTTCTCTGAATTAGGGTCCTCTTCAGGGTCCTTTTTACAAGGGTGCGGTACTATCAAAGTGCGACCTTAATTTAGAGAACTAGCCATATGTTTCTTGTAAGCCTCGCTGCCTCGCTATCACTCGTCTCATCCTCTCATCTAGAAAAAAACTTGAACCCAAAACAACTCTAAAGCACTCACCCTCTAGCCCAATTGGCCCCACACCCGAAGGTTGAAAGCATTAAAAGGCAGTAAACTTCACCGAAAATTCCAACGGCGAAACCCCAAACCTCAGCACCTTCATTCTTGACACCCTACACCCTAATCCTTAAATTTCAGCCCCAAGCCCCTAAACCCCTAAACCCTTGAACCCCTAAACCTTTCGAAACCTTGACGCCTTAAACCAACGGAAAAGGAAGCGACAAAAAGGAAACGACACATAAGAGCAGAAAGAAGGCGGCGTCACATCCCCCGGCAAGGGGAGATTATAAAGTACCCTTTAGTAGTATAGGGCCCCAAGTTAGAGGATCTACTTTCTAGCTCCTCCCGGCGGTCTGGGGACACGCACACACGCACAGACAGGCGAATCCTTTGCCTTCCCAGGTACCCCTACGAGTCAACCTCCGCTGCGCGCGGCTACAACGGCTACGCCTACCCGCCTCAAGCCTCTCACGCTGGTAGCGTCCCGACACGTCTTAGTTGGGGTTTGGGGGTTTAGGGGTTTAGGGGTTTGGGGTTTGGGGTTTCGGGGTTCGGGGTGTAGGGGTTCAGGGGTTTAGTAGTTCTGTGGATTCGGGAGTTACGTTCAAGATACTATAGACTATAGGAGCCCGAAGAATCTCCCTGTGGGTATGTACGCCGACCCCTATATGTGCCAGCATCCGCGCCCCCCCCCCCCCCTCCCCCCCATGGTAATCCCCCTCCCCCCCCCTGTGGTTCCTGTGGTTCCCCCCCCCCCCTGTGGTTCCTCTTGGTTTTCCCCCTCCCTTTTGTGGTTCTTCTGGTTCCTGTCTCCCCCCTCCCCCCCTGTGGTTCCTGTGGTTCCTCCGCGTGGTTGCTGCTGCTTTGTTGTTGCTGCTGTTCTTCTTCTTGTTCTTGTTCTTGTTCTTGTTGTGTGGTCGCCCGGGTCGGGGGGGGGGGGGATACCATTGGGGGGGGGGGGGGGGGGGGTCGAGAACGCGGAGCGCGGGCACATATATAACCCTAAACCTTTACGGCTGAACCCAAAACCCTCAGACTCTGCTGATCAATGGCCCGGGGAAGAGAGCCCAGCACAGCATCCCCTCCGTCCTCAACCCTGAACCTCCGAACAAACCGTGCTTCTTGAGGAGCCTAAACCCTAAACCGGACAGTTTAGGGTTTATGGACTAAGTTCCAAGGGCCCTCCAACGGCCTCAGCTCTTGAACTCCTACATCCGATCCCCTCAACCCTAGACCCCGTGAGGTCCGTACGGCATGCAGAGCAACGGCAACAACGGGTTTGTGTCCGCCCCGGCCTACGACCGGCTGGGCAGCCAGGAGCGGTTGGGAATTCAATGGTTCAGGATTTCTTAACAGACACACAGACACACACTCGCACTCCGCCTCTTCTGTTCGTCTATCTACGTATCTATTCATCTATCAGTCTACCAATCTATCTATCCATCTGTTATTCTATCTATCCATCTATGTATCCGTTAGTCTATGTATTTATCTGTCTATCTGCCTACGGATCGACGTACCTACCTGGCTACCTACCCGCCTATTTACCTGATCTACACACACATACATACATAAGTGCATGCATACATACGTACATACAAACTTTTCAGTTACATACATAGACATATGTATACATGTTCATACATTCATAGTATACACATACATACACACATACATACATACATACATACATACATACATCCATGCACACACACACACACACACACGCATACATACATAAATACATACATACATACATACTTGCGTAAGTACCTACATTTGTAGGTGCATACATACATGCATCATACATACTTCCTACGTATTTACTCACACATGCATGCATACATACATGCATACGTACACATAAATGCATACATTACATGTGTGTACACATGTATTTTGTATACACACAGACGCAAGAGCACGACGTTTTTCTCTCGGATTTGGCTTTTACCTCCAAGGGAGTCTTCGGGTTCGGCGATGTGGATTTAGATTCGTAATGTAGGGACCTTGAGAATTACCTACAGTATTTTGGGGGCTCCCTAATATGATTATAGCGTCATGGGCCCCAAAACTCTACTCTAATTCTTAAGGCCCCCTAGGTTACAGGAGCCGGAGTGTTTCGAACTCCATCCTTTCGGGGTTGCGGTTTCGGGTTTGGGGCCTCAGTGCCAGGAGCTTGCTCAGCACCATACACACTGCACTACTGTTGATGGACAATATCCTGCATGACCATAAAGACTCGAAGCTATGGGAACTATGGTATTCAGGTTGTTGGTATATGTTGGTATGCTTTTAGCTGAAATGAAAGTTTTCTGATTTTGCGGTTTCAAGGAAGCTCCTCTCAACACAGGGGGAGTTCCTGTCTGTCAGGATTCTCTGTCGCAGACCGGCGGCGATTATGCACAGCTCTTCAAGTTCATCATTATCGGCGACGAGGCTTCGGTACCCCGTGAGCCTCACTCCGACAGCTGCCTTCTAATTATACTATAGAAGGAATAGGGTTCCTGTAAAGGGATCTATAAGGGATCTACGAGGGATCTATAAGAGTACTTTGCTTGGATCGTATACCGACTGAAGACCTTGAGCCCTCCGACTCTGAATCCAATTTGCCGTGCGACTTAGGCTATGTCAGATCCTTCAGAGAGGTTTTCGGGCGAAACTTCCGCTAACCCCTGTGAAGCAAGCGCTGAACTGCCCCAAACCTGCGCCAAACCCGAGACTATGGGCCCAAAACCCCTAAACCCCCAATCCCATAAACCCGCAGATCCTAAACCATAAACCATAACCTGCAAACCCTTAACCCCAGACCTTGACTTTCCCAGAAGCTCTATCGTTTAGGCTTACCGGAAAACGCAAAAGCCCTGTGCTCCAAAAGACCTCAGGACCGTTTAGTTCAGGAGTACTTCTTCAAGCATCTGGTTTAGGGGTCTGGGATTTAAGGTTTCTTTGGGATTTAAGGTTGAGGGGTTTAGAATTTCAGGCTTTTTCAGGATTTCAGGTTAAGCGGTTTAGGATTTGAGGTCTTTCCGGGGTTTAAAGTTTAGGGGTTTAGTGTTTAAGGTTTCACAGGAGGGCTCTTCTTAGCAACAAGCCAACACGCGCATGAGAATCCTCTAAAGTACAACAACCCGTTAAGGGATCCTCGTGGGCTTCCTTTCAGGATTCCTTGAAGGGTTTCCTCTAGGGTTCTCTTTATAGGTACCCTTAATCGGCTGGGAACCCCATCAAAGCCTTTAGCCAGAATGCAGAGGTTTAAATCCACAGCAAGCCTTCGATGGGTACTTCTCTGAAATGGCTTTCGTTCGGTAGGCTTTCTCCAAAAAGAGAGCCGTCTTCTTGTGGGATCCCCATTTCAAAAGCAACCTCGTTTCTGGAGGCGGTGGGGAAGACCTGCCTCTTGCTGCAGTTCACCGACAAGAGGCCGGCATCCGCAATTGTAAGCTCTGGGCTTAGGATTGACACCGACACCCAAGATCTCAACCCGAACCTGCCTTCACACCCTCGACTAGCATATCTGGGCTGTACCCAAAACCCAATGATAACCCAGGCAACCACAGTAGCGGATTGATAAGTGGGCTAAAGTACAAGTATAGCCAGGCTATTCGTATCCCGAATCTCCAAGTAGGGTTGTAGAGACTTCACCCCTAAACCCTAAACCCTAAACCCAACCCTAAAACCTAAATCCTATACCGTGGCTATTTCGAGAATTTTGATGTTTATCGTTTTGTTCGAAGAGGACCAGTGCACGCGAACCGTCAACCATGTCCTCGGGTTCCTCCGTATAAGTCCGAAACCCCAAACTCTCCGCGCTTCTCCTGTCGATCCGGCAGCGGTTCCGGGCTTCTGGATGTAGGGTACTTGGAGGATCATGGGATCTAGTAAGTAAGGTTATGGGTGCCTTAAGTGGGGTCATAGGTAATTATAAGTATAGTTACCTTATTTATAACCCTAGTTACTAAGTCCCATGAGCCTTTAAGTATTCCCCTAAACCCTAAGCCCTAAACCTTTTATAGATCCCTTATAGATCCCTTTAAAGGAACCCTTACAGAACCCTACATTAAAACCCTAGTTACTAAGTCCCATGAGCCTTTAAGTAGGATTTGGAGCTCAAGGTGTTCGGCTTGAGGGCTTGGGTATTGTTGCTTAGGCCTTCGTGCAGGGTGTTGCTATCGAAAATGGCTCCGGTCACAAACTCGTTCTGGCTTCTGCTTGATGCCATCATCTAGATTGCCGGCACCACTGTTGCTATTCTCAGGAGCCAAACAAGCACTCAAGCATGAGCTTTTGGGTGGGGTAAGCCCTACCTAATTGTTTTGTGTAAAAGGTGAATTACGGGATATCACGACCTTATGGTTTGTGTTTTGGTGGTTTCTGGGGCCCTTATATTCTTTGCCCGATTTCACTATCTTACTCATCATCGTAGCAGTGGTGCTGGGGCTTGTAGACAAAATCATACCTTTTGGGTTCGGCGGCTTCGGGTTCGGAGATTAGGGTTAGGTCTTACGGAGTAGGGTGTGGCCCCTGAAGCCTCAGCCCGAAACCCAAAGCCTTCACCCTGAACCCCAAACCCTACGCCCCTAAACCCCAAGGCCCTAAACCCTAAACCCCACACCTCTAAACCCTAAACCCTACACCCCTAAACCCTAACCCCTTGAATTAAACTCCAAACCTCAATTCCTCGTGTCTTAACCCCGAACTCCTCTGACGAGGTATCGCACCACACACCAGGCCGCAGGGTGGGTTCTGCACGCGCAATCAATCAATCGATTTAAATATAAGTATATATATATGCATACGTATACGTATATATATATATAACTATATATATATATAACTATATGTATATATACACAGATTCTTGAGATAGACGCATAATCGGTTTAGGGGTTTCGGGTATAGGGTTCAGGGATAGGCTCAAGCCACGATGTTGCTGTAGTCGTCTCGACAGGCGCTCGAACAGGCTTTCCGAATAGGGTTCAGCACCCAAACCCCAAAATCCTAAACCCCGAAATCCTGGAGGTTTTTGAGGCTTTGGGTGAAGCCCTGGGTTTCGGGCTGCTTGCGGTCTTGGAGCTATGGTCCTTAAAAGCACTGTAAAGGCATTCCGGGTTCAGGGCTTAGGGCTCGCTGGGATTTTTTGGAGGTGGAAGGTGTAAAGACTCGAATGGCCAAACAGTGGTACCCTGTTTACCAAGTGATCCTTGAAGCACTGCTATGATCTGAGACTGTCGAAATACACTCTGATGGCTTTCTGGCACATCTTGAGGGTTCAGTTTCTTGCTTTGGACCTCCCTCCAAATCCTAAACGTCCTAAACCCAAATACATGACAAAACCTACCCAAGAGACCTTATATATACCCAACACGTAATATGTTAAGATGCGATATATTATAACACATTATAGTACCACAGCATGGCAAAGTGTAAGAAAGTACAACGTACGATATAACAGGCAGCGGTCTTCTACAAGCACTGCGCCCAAGCCTTCTTGAGGCTCAGACTTTTGACTCAGTCGGCTGGGGGTCGTCATCCAACCGCCCTCTTAATTTCCGTCCACGTCATGGCTATCGTAGAGCAGCGAACTGTTGCCACAGGGCCAGGGAACAAAGATCTTCACTAGAACTCGCTGGGAAATCTTCCTATACGGCAGCTGCGCCACTTCTTACCCAATTTTAGGGTTTCGGGTTTAGATTGCAGGGTTTAAGCCCCCGAAACCCTAAACCCTAAACCCTATGAGACATACGGAAAAAGGTGCTGAACAAAAAAAACCCTATGTGACAGGGTTTAGGGCTTCGGGTTTACGGCCGTGTCTTTCGTTCCGAAGCCATGGCTCTCGCTACGAGCCTCGGTCGCTTGGAGCCCGCCTCCACGGTGCGCCCTCGGCCGCATTCGCCAGAGCAGGGTTTTAAGGTTTACGTTTAGGGGTTGGGGTTGAAGGGTTTAGGATTTAGGGTTTAGTTTATAAGGTATAGGGTGTAGGGTATAAGGTTTAGGGTTTAGGGTATGAGGTTTAGGGTTAGGGTATAAGGTTTAGGCTTAGGGTTTAGGGTATATGGTTTAGGGTTTAAACTGGGCTTCACAGGTTTAGGGTGCAAGAGGTGTAGAGCTCAGCGGCTTAGAGTTTGGGCGAATCCCGAGTTCCGAACCTGGGCCCCGAGCTTTAGACCCCGACCCTGGTTTAGGGTTCAGGGTTCCCTATAACTTACCCCCAACACTAAAATGGGAGTTTCCGAAAATTAGGGGTGCCTTCTTTTAGGGGCTTTATTAAGGATCCTACTATTTAGGGTACCATATTGGGGTCCCCTATTTTCTAAACCCTATAACTTACATACACCCTGAGCCCCTAAACCCCTAGATCCCACCTTTCAGTCATTTCAGACGCTGGCTCACACACGGCGTTCCGTGCACAAGCGGGCCTTAGATTCCTAAGGCCACCCAAAACCCTCAACCCTAAACCTCAAACGCTCTGAAAACAATAAAGCCCTAAACCGCGTAAACAGACGCATCAGAGTTTGGGATGGTTTGGGGTTTCTGGAGTGCAGCTTCTCGGGATACCCTGATAAAGACCCTTTAGTAAAGCCGTTAGCCGGATGAACCTATGTCACGCATCCTTGTTTTAAACCCCCCAGGAAGAAAGAACCCTTGTCGTCCCCATGAACTGATGGTTTAATTGAACCCTGAACGAACTCGTACAGTGCGCCTTCAGAGTCCCTGAGAAACCTTTCTGCAAAAGCACCACCCACCCTAAACCCTAAACCTTAAACCCCAACTTTCCTTAACTCAGGTTCCTGCTCTGCGACGTGCAGGCACTGCTTGGGGTGCTCCAGGGATGCCCCAAAGCTCCGAACACTTTAGGTTTAGGGCGTAGGGAGACGATGCACCGAACATTACCCATAGCATCATATGGGAGTTTCCGAAAACAGGGGACCCTAAAATAGTACCCCAAATAGTAGGATCCCTATTATAAGGACCCCCAAAATAAGGGACCCCAATTTCCGGAAACTCCCATATTGGAAATCTCTTTACAATACGGTTGTGGACTGTCAGACTTCTGAGTCAGGAGCCCTGGCAGCAATGCTGCTGCGGAAGCTCCAAACCCATCCACAATCCTTCCTAAACCCGAAAACCTTAAGGCCCGACTCCCTTTAAGCCCAACTCGAACCCTAAACCCTAACCCCCAAATCCTAAACCCTAAACCCCAAGTCCTAAACCTTAAACCCTAAACCCCAAGTCCTAAACCCTAAACCCTAAGTCCTAAACCCTAAACACTACATCCTTGAACCCCTAGAAGCCGATATCTCTAAGAAGCCGATCGTTCACAGGAGCGTTTCCGCGACGTCATCGACCGCATGTCCGGCAACCAAGAGGTTTCTGCCTAATATAGGGGCTTGAATGATTACCTATACTATTTTGGGGGTTCTTTTTTATAGATATAGGATAATATACCCCCGAACCCTATTCTAACGATTAAGGTCTCTACATTAGGTTTTCTGCTTGTTCTAGGGTCTGAGTTACAATTCTTCGAGGAATACAAGGATAGTAATCGCAAACAAAGTCCTCAAAGCCAAGTCCAGGTATTAAGGCCCATATATCATGTCGTATCACATCAACGTCTGGGGTCTGGGGCCTGGCGCGGCCATTGCTGCCCTACTTGGAGGGTCGGGGGACTTAGTATCTAGTTATTTTAGGGACTTATAAGTCTAAGTACATAACCCCAATTAGGGTCCCTTTTAAGGCACTTATAAGTCTGCTTATAAACTACTTACTAAGTCCACCGAGCCTCCAAGTACCGATTCCGCTGTGCGTTCCAGCATTCATTGACACGTAAACTTAGGGCGTTCCTTTTTTCAGCCTTGATTTTCTAGGAAGCTCCGACGTTCTGCTTCAAACACTGGAAGGTGACTTCACGATGCCAGCACAAAGAGAATCGATACAAATACTCTACCAGGGGGGGTCGACTTTAATCTCGCCGTTTGGCGCCGAAACTCGAAGTGTGGACGCTAAGTATGACATATTGCATCTGTTTCAGCATGTTGTCGAGCGTACTTCCGTGCGGCAGTTGCAAGGCATCCCTATTTAGGATATTGTGCTTACTTTCTTATCAAACAAGTGGTCACCTAGACAATAGACACGAAAACAGTTGCTGCACTGAGTCTACGCTGTCTAGGTGGCATCCATATCGTATGCCAAAACTTGGGAACAACAGGTACGTGAACTTGCTTGTCAGCCGCCTGCATCAGCAAGCACATGAAAACCACTGACTGCAAAACAAGCAGCATTGATTCAGTTCAGGTACAAGAAGTGCGTAAACATGTTTGCTCCTAGCGAGTTAAACATTGAAGCTGAGGATGTGACTTGGGCAGGGGCATACGGGCATGAAGGCTTATTTGGGTAGGTCAACTGTGGCCGCGTCTAGGTTTAGGGTGTCAGACAGGATTCATGGTCTGAGTACCTTTACGTTCCATATAGCTGTTTTGGCAAGGCCCTGTGCGTTTGGGGTTTGGGGTTTCCAAAGGCTGAAGCCCGAAGCCATGTCCGAATAGCAGTTCTTTGCAAACGGTTTTGCGAACACGCCTTTGAAGGACCCTTGAAGGAACCGCATCTAAACAAAAATAGGGGCCTTAATATTTGCCTACACTATTTTGGGCTTCCTGGTTATATTTATAGTAGAACGGGCTCCGAAACCCTAGTTATTCTAATTGTTACGGCCCCTGCATTATGACGACCTTTCAAACCCAGGCCGGAGGTCATTGCCGCGGCCAAGGCCATGATGGATGCCGGGGAGGCCCTGTCCATTCCGATTATCATCACGGATGCTCGGACTAGGGTTTAGGGTTCAGGGTTTAGAGTTTAGGGTTTAGGACTTTAGGATGTAGGGTTTAGAGTTTAGGATTTAGGACTTTAGGATGTAGGGTTTAGGGTTTAGAGTTTAGGGTTTAGGACTTTAGGATGTAGGGTTTAGGGTTTAGAGTTTAGGGTTTAGGACTTTAGGATGTAGGGTTTAGGGTTTAGGATGTGGGGTTTAGGGTTTAGGGTTTCGGATTCCGATAATCGTCACGGATGCTCGGACGACTTTCTGGGTCTGGAGCTTAGGGTAGTGTAGGGTGTAAGCAACATGGAAGACTTGCGAGTTTGGCAACATGCCTGATTTGTTTTACAGGAGACTGGACCCCTTCTTATATATATAAATATGCATAATATGCATAGTATGTACATATACATACAGACACACACACACACACACACACATATCATCCAACATTGAGAAGCTTCAAGGCTTCAAGCCCGGACTCAAGCCCCAACTCCGGAAGCCATCAGCAAGTCTGCTGCAGGTTGAAAGAAACTCTTCAAATCGCCCCACCCTCTTCGCGAGCTTGCAGCAATACGCCCCAAGTCTCCGCACTGCAACTCCAAGCCTTGAAGCTTAAAGGCTACGCCCTTGACCCCGAATTCCCACACTCTTCAAACAAGTAAACAGAGGCTGTAACCCTAAACCCGAAACCCTAAAGCAACTAAGCAGAAGCCCAAAACCTGGGAATCCTGACAAGCTTAAGCAAACCTATCAAACCACATGGAGCCCTACGAAACCCGTTTGCTTTCTGTTTGGCAGCACCTTTAAGGAGCAGTATCCGAAAGCCTTGGGCCACACCGTCCCAGAGCTGGACGTGTCCAAGGCACCCGGCCTGGTCAAAGACATGTATTAAATCATTGAGCCCAACCCGAAACCC